TCTCTGGCCTTCCTGCTGCATCTTCATTTAGAACCTAGCATAAGTGCTTGCACACAGTAGGTATTTAATACTAGCCCAGGGAATGACAGCACACAGGTAGCTTTTTCTGCGGTCTTTCCTCCAGATCAGTTTGTTTGCTTCGCAGCTTAGTACCTCCTCTTCTTCCAGACAGGCTGTGGAGAATGGGACTAGACCGTACGTACATCCAGCTTGCAGGGGCTGCACGGTGTGGAGTCCCCGAGACTAATGACTGTCTTCTCTAGAGGACCAGGTGAGGGGCTTCCCTCTGCCGATGGGGGAGGGGCAGGGTACCAAGTCCCTCAGCACGAGTGGCATGCCAGGGGCTGCCCAGTTCCATAGGGCTCAGACACTGCTGCCTTTGTTCTGAAAACGACAACGAAAGTCACATGCTTTCCTCCCTGCCCGGTGCATTCTGGAGTAGTGTATCTGGCTACTCTGCATTCTTCCTGTTGCTGGGCTGGTTGCAAGGGGAAGACCAAGGGTAGATCCTGTCTGGAGTTCAAGGATAGCTAGCCAGAGTACTAATTGTAGTCCGGCTGCAAAGTCTTAACCTTAATTTTGTCTGCCAGCTGTTACTAAATCGCACACATTGATGGGAAGCTAGTTGTGTCATCTGGAAAAACGGGGTTGCCACAAGTTCTTTCATTTTGAAAGGCACACGAGGGCAAGCAAAGGGAATTCATCTCGACATTCCAGAACTCTCTTTTAAAAATCCCAGCCGGTCTTTGATTTTTTTTTTTCTCCTCATAATGCAGCATATAGCGCCACGGATAGGTCCAATCAGTCGTCATTTCACATATCATTTGGTTTGAAGCTTGTAGAGAGCTCCAATAGTTCGTCTTTGGGTCACATGTTACACAAGGTAACAGATCAACAGCAGTGTACTTCCCAAGGCACACGGGGAGGGTCCAGAGCCTGTTCTTCAACAGTCTGCAGCCAAGGCTGTTCCTCCCTGAGCCTGAAATGTGGCTATTGATGATTCACAAGGCCAACAAGCTCCACGTGGGCGATCCAGGTGTAGGAGAAGTGTGCTTCTTTCATGGGTCTTCTGCAAACTTCACTTTTCAAAAGTGCCTCCTGTTGCCCATGGACCAGTACTCCCTTCCCTTCCCCCTCCTCAGAGTGGTGAAGGGAACAGAACGGTGGCCTGGCATATGCAAATCATGCACTCTACCACTGAGGTGCACCCTCGGGCCCCAGATGCATATTTAAATGCTCCACCTCACTATTACCTCTGCCCAGATGCCAATCCCCCATGAACTTGCAGTCAACTCCCGTCCTGCACCTCCAACTACCCACTTGGCATTTTCTCTTGGGATTATAGGATCCTTTGATCTACCTCCCTCATATTAAAATTGAGAAAAGTCCAGGGAGGTAGTGTGGCTTTGCCAAATTCCCTCAATCAGAAAGAACGAGACAGGATGGCAGACGCCTCCATTTTCTAGCACACCAGTGTTCTGTTCACACTGTCCATGGAGGAAGACAGGACATCCCTGCACACCCAACACGGTGACTGCCCAAGTCCTGATCCTCCAAGCCTGGCTCTGCCTCCTGAGTTTCCGGTCTCTATGAAACAAAAGCTCTGAGAAGGCAGAGCTCACAGATCCACACACATGACTCTCTGCTGCTTGCCCCAAAATGGCATTTATCAGGAGCTCACATTTTATCTTTTTTTTTCTTTCACATTTTATCTTGACATACGCATGGGCAAATGATTATGAGAACTGGCTATTACTGTAGTGTCCGAGCCTGGATTTCCTCAATTCACACTCTTTCCCCATCCCCTAAGGACTCACCAAACACCAAGTTCTACTGGTGTGGTCCCTCCTGGTTTCTCCTTTTAGTTTCTCATCTCTTTCCTTCCCTCCCGAGCTCCAGCCCTAATCGTGGACTGGAGAGAACTTCATCTCTTACCCCCAGCATCTCCTTCTTGCATGCTTTCCTATCCATAGTCGTTCAGGATAAAAGCCGCATGAGGTGTCTCCGTATCTGCCCTCGACACATCCCCTTCTCCAGTTTCGCCCTATACTTTGTTTGCCCTGCCTGCCTAGTGTACTCTGTGAATTCTGAGCATCGCTTAGGCCCAGACAAATACAGCCTGTGCCACTATGACAACCACAAAGGAATGTAGCAGCCACAGCAGGTAGAACGCTGGAAACACCATCATGCGTCAAGCACTGCACAGAGTTATTCATACGCATTACTTTATTAACCTTCACAAAACCCCTAGGAGGTAAGACCGATTATTAGCCTCATGTTACAGTAGTAGAAACTCACACTCAGAGGTGTCAGGGCATTTACCAAAGGTCACAGACCCACTACCAAAACAGATGGAATTCATACATAATTCTATCAGACAACCAAGCCATGCTCTTAACCTCTAGGCTGCTGTTGCCTAAAACTATTTTCTTCCTCCCACAGCCCCTCACGCTGCTCAGCCCCTCACGCGCTAGTTTTCACGCTATCAGTATTTCACTGAACATCCTCTTCAGGACACATCTTTCTTGTCCCTGGTCATGTGGGAAGCCACGAGAGAACAGGAATTACATTTCTGGGCCCTTACAGGTTTTGCCCCATGTGTACATTGCTAACTGAACAGGAGAGTGAAGGACTCCATCCTCCGTTAGTTTTCTTTTCTTTTCTTTCTTTTTAAAAACTCTTCCTTTAGGTGATGAGTCTGTTTCCCTCCCAGGACCACAGGGAGGTAAAGACTGTAACCCAAAGAGAGGAAAAGTCCTGTGTTCAGGTCCCGAGTCTTATAGCCAGGTAGAGCATCCCTAATCTGAAACTTTCTGCGTGTCCCTAGCACATCGCAGATGGAAATTACATACCGGAAAATGGTTTTATGCACAAAATTCGAAACAAAACAAAAAACCCTACCTACTGTACGTAAATGACCTTCAGGCAGTCCATGTGGAGTATATATGAAACCCAGATGAGATTCTGTGTTTGGACTTGTGTCCTGTTTCTACCATGTCTCTTATACAAACATTTCAAAACCCACAAAATCTGAAACTCTAAACACTTCTGGCCCCAAGCCTTTCAGATAAAGGACGCTGGTTCTGTATTTGCATATGCTCCTTCTAGGAGACAGGCCTGGCAGCATTTACTGAACTGACTTGGGGAATTTTGAAGCTTTGACTCCTGAGGCCTTTGTATGGTTACAGATATTCCAAGGGAAAGGTAAAGTTCCCTGAGCTCCTCCACTAGGAACCACTGTGGGACCGAATTACTTTCCTGAGAATGATAAATGCAGTTGACAATTACACAGCCCTGTTTACACATGACTACAGTATGTCTGTTAACTGATCCATGTAAAGTTACCACCACGGGACCACACAGATCATTCTGTATATGGAAAAAAAAATGTTAACTTGGGGCTCAGTCATCGGGAAGCTGATGGACATCGGGTTAGTCATTCTCTCTCTCTGGACCTCTGTTTTTCACTTGTCCTGACATTCTGGGATATTAATTAAGACGATGGGTTGGTCGGAGTTCATGGCAGTCCTAAGTTTTTAGAATCCAAGAAACAAAATACTGGAAAAGCTGGCAAAAGTGCCACCCCTGGGTAAGAACCAGGGCTTTGCTCTTGTACTCCGCTGCTTACTGACATCTCCAGCCCAGGAGCTCTGCCTTACTTACGTAAGGCCTACCTGTCTACAGAACAGAGCACTCACGTGCTCCGGCTGCACCTCTGCCCCATACTCTTTCCTGTCCCCAGAGGAAGGAGCAGGCAGCCTCCTTGTCCCAGAGGCCCTGGCAAAGTCATCTCTACCCCCCAGTGCCTCACCTTTCAAAGATGTCCATGCCCTCTGTGTGCTCTGCATGCTAGACACCAACGGTTTCACAAGGCCCCAGCCCCCAGGGTGGGAGGCGGGGGAGGCAGATGGCCTGCATCTGGAAGCCATCACTGGCTCCCTGGCTATGTTCACAAACTAAAACCCCCCATTTGTCACAGGGGAAAGTGACAGGTGTAGATTTTTCCCCTCCCCTTTTAGTCTCTTACAAGACCGCTTAAATGGAATTGAAGCTAATGAAGGAGGCTGGCTGGCAGGCATGCTTGCTCAGCCCGGTATCGCTGTACCCGTCTCCAAAACTGCTCTGAACCCATAGAATGGCTTTGCCATTCTATAGAGACTCAGAAAGCCCAAACCTTCTAAAGGCAGGGGCCAGGGAACTGTGGAGTCACATAGGAACCGATCACAGTTATTAGGCAAGTTCAAATCCGGAGTGTTGGGACAAGTCTGCCTCTGGACTGCGGTGACCGTGCATGGAGGTGTCCGTGGTAAAAGTGTGCAGAGCTGTTTACACTTGCTCTGGCTCTGTGCAAAGGAAACTAACGTCTGAAGACTCAGGTTCATGGACTACACTGAGGTCAGCTCGCTGTGCTGCTATGGGACTAGGGCTAAGTAGAACGTTACCACTAGGGAACTGGTGCAGGGACCTGTCTATGATTTCTTGACATCTTGTCAATCAATAATGATTTCAAAATAAAACGTGAAGAGCCAACGGATGAAAAGTCTAGTGCAGTGGGAATGGACTTGGACTGGTGTCGCCAAGGTCCTGGGACACAAGTTTTAATGCTGTATCATAAGGGGCTGGAGTCCAGCCCGTTGATACCACTGACGTTATCACCATCGTCGTCATCCCTGTCACCACCAGCGTCACTTCCATCCCCGTCATCATTAGTGCTTGGATTGACTGAATACTAGGAATACGACTTCTCCTTCTTCCCCTCCCCCTCTCCCTTCCATTTTCTTAATTGCATACAACCCTTGTACCAGCTTCTCCCACCAAAGACCGTGGGAGAAGCTAGCTGGCACCACAGCCGTGCAGCTTTGGTGCAGTCAGGCTCTGACCCAGGAAGAACAGGGCTTTGTGAAGCTCTCCACCTTCCAAGCCACCTAAAGTGCCCTCCCCTTACTCCAGAGAGCCCAAGTGAGCTCCAGCTGCTCCAAATCAACAAACACAGCACTTACAGGTTCTTCACGTCTGCGATGCCACGGAACGCCTTCCTCGGGACGCCCTGGATCTGGTTCTCGCTCAGATCTCTAAACAAGAAGAGAAGAGGCAAACCAGTTAAAGACGGAGACCACATTCTCCCGCATCTCATTACGATAACAAAACCCTCGGAGGCTGCCGGGGCTGCCCACCAGAAGTGTTTGAGGGCTGTTTAGTCTCAGGCCCCTGGCTGTTACAAGCCTATACATTGTTCTGCAAATGAGGACTTTTGCAGAAATAGTTACTAGGAGGGGATCAGTTTGCCTCAGGGCAGGCACTATGGGTGGTCTCACACCTCCAGGCCACGAGCCAAGACTCCAGGTTATTTGTTACACACACTGCACCCCATTAAGTTCTGGCACCTCCCAGAGAAGACCCTTACTCTCCTTCCCTCAAGACATCCCTCCCTAACTCAAGGTCAACACCACTCACTCTCCCGTTTCTCAGGCAGTCCTTTGATGCTCAAATTCTCTGCTCTTGCCATTTGGGATTGGAACTGAGCCTGGTCACTGGATTTTCTGATAGGGACATAGGGACTCATGCATTTCCACACATCCCATCCAAAACAGGGGTCTCACCCCTCATTCTGCACTGAGGGATGCCAACCAACACACTGGCTGCTTCGAAGTAGGTATGGAAGAATGTGGTGTGTGGCCGGCTCCAACCCAAATTGTATCGAAGGATTTAAGAATCCCCTAGCACCTCGATTTCCTTCCCCAAAATCATGCAGACCTTTTGGGTTTGGTTTGTTCTCTGGTTTCATCTCTGTTTTTGCTAGACCAACCACGTGCGTTTGTTTTCATTCAGACCTCAAGCCTGCTTGGATCTCAGTGAGTAATCAATCCATAAAGACCCATCGGAGCCCCAGGCGGATGAGGGAGCTCTGGCAAACACTGCAAGCAGCAAGGCTATTCCCATTCAGCCACCTGCTACAGGAGCATCTTCAAAGACGGCAGGGGGAAGGGGACGCATGTGTGAAGACGGCACTGCCTGACTGCCGGCCCCTGCTGATTTTCAGATATGAAAGGTGTCTATATGCACATACTCATAGACACAAATATACATGTCTGGGATTCTGAAAAGAAAACCCCTCAAATAATGAAGGAAAAAAGCCAACCATAGACATAACCACTGCTAACAACTATACACAGAGCATATAAATTTCACTGACATGACCTCCTAATGTATGGCCTATTCTAAACCGTTTTCCACATGCTATATTAGGAACATCTGTCTATGTCTTCACCAAGCACATCAATGCCGATATTTTTAATGGCCACACAGCATCTAATTGCATATACGGTTGGTTCATTGTATGACTGCAATTGTAAAGTGGGTGTTGGCTCAACTTCTGTCATGTAAAGAAACATTAGGATAGATGGGCAAGATGGCTCAGCAGGTAAGGAACTTGTTACCATGCCGGACAACCTGAATTTCATCTCTGGAACCCACATGGTAGAAGAAGTGAACTGATTCCTACAAGTTGTCCTCTGACCTTCACATATGTGCCAAGACATGTGCACACACGTGCATATGCACACATACACACAAAGTGTGAAAAGAATTTTTTTTTTAAAAAAAGGAAACACTAGAACACATTTCTCTGTCCACACCCTTGGGGGCACATCTTAGGAATTTCCTTGGCACAAGGTCCTCCTGGGAGAGCTTGCTGGCCGCAGGAGAAACTCATCCTTGTCGAGGTCGCCCACAGATAGATTGGTGATGGATGCTCACGTGCTGATTTTTGAGACACCCCCTCAAAAGCTACTTCAAACATACATGGAAGAAGAGGCCAGACAGCCACATTCTACCGAAATTCGGGCAGTCTATAGGGACACTTTGCAAAACGGGAGGAGGGCAAATCAGAAAGCAGAAGAGAGACATCATCCATCCTTCTTCTTCTGACACCTGCTGATAAGTGACACGCACTCTGAGCAGCTGGCTGAACTTCAGGACAGTTGGGCTAGCCTTGGGCTACTCTCAGGCTCCAAACAAAGGCTTACTGTTGGGATAGGGTGTACCTATGAGCCCTAGACACCTTGGGGGCTGCCTAGCAGAGTGGTTCCCCCATTTCAAATTCAGTTTCCTCTTTCGACAACCGACGTAAGTAAATTCTGGTGCACAATAAGCTCTGATGCAGGCCCCCCAGCCGGGCCTGATTCAATGAGCAGGGCTCCAGCCTGGAGTCGGGGCGCTGAACAAAAGCCCATGATGACAGGCAGAGGTCAGGCAGTGTCACCCAGGCCACTCGGCTGTTCTCCATCAGCCTCCACAGAGGGGGCTCAGGTCCTGTCATCTGACTAATGCAATTTCCACCAGGCATCTTGGCAGCCCTGGAGGCTTCCGCAGCCACAATGGGCCCACTCTTTCCTGTCAAAGCCTGTCGGTCTCCAGACCACAAGCCTCTGTCCAATACCCTCTCAGCCTCTGCTGTTATCTTTGGCTGCTAGGGAGATGGGGTCTGGCCACAGGTCTGATAAATGGCCGATGAGAAAAATCAGGGGAAAGGGGTTAGAAATCAAATAGGAAGAAGGTTTAGAACCGACAGTTTTAACCACTGCAGGGGGCTAGGAGGGGTGGCACCTATTTCCAGAAAGGGCATTAGCCCATTTTGCACACTACATACTCCGAAACGTACCGGGGGAGCATGGTAGTTGTGTAGAAGTTCTGCCTGACAGTGTGGGGCAATGAAGAGAGGAGCGTGTTACTTAAACAGAAAGAGATGGTGTCCTGAGGGGAGATCATTCTCATAGGCAGCCCTCGGACAAAACCCTGCATTTGGGTGAAAGAGCTGCTTTGGTTTTTCTGGTCACCACATCCTTCCTGTAAATGGACCCAGCTTTGTTTCTGCTTTAAAGAACCCCATAAAGGGCACAGCTTTCTTTCCCGTCTCCCCGTCACTGTATTCGCCCCGTCCCAGCTGAGTAAAACAGTAGATCGTAGGGAATTTATCTGCTCCCCGTGACAATCTGCTTGTAAATTTTATTAATTTTATTTTCTATTGAGCCTCTCTTCTACGGCTAACAATGCAGCAGCCATGCATCCGCAGGATTGTCTATTGATTTCATAAATACCTCCAGTGGGCTGACAAACTGACAGATTTAATGGTGTTACTGATGGGGTGTGGAGGAGGGCTCAGGACCGGGCGCTTCATTTTCGGTAACCATCCCTTCACAATTATCACAGGGCCTTTGTGAGGTTTCCTAATAGTGTGTTTATCTCGGCATGATGTCTGAGCACAGAGCTATTGTTAAGTCCGATCCTTGGGAGAGACAAGAGCAACCATTTTGGTTGACAATTAAATAAAAAATAACAAAATCTATCCATGATGCCTAAGAGCCTAGTTCTGGTCAATTGCTTGTTCGGGTTTTAGTGTCGAAGAGGAAGACACCCGCAGAAGTGACCAGAATGGCATTTCCTCACCTTAAACAAAAGGAAGGCACAGGTTAGAAAAGGTTGGGCCGTGTGAAGTGGGCTGAGCCTTTTAGGGTGCCAGGAAGAAAGATGGCAGGTCGGGAAGGCTGTCTTGGTTGGGAAGTGGGCTATGGATCAGGATGCCTTTTTAAATAATTAGGCCTCTGAAAGCTAAGGAGAACTGCATTAGCTAAAGTGCATTTCCCAGCTTCCGGAAAATGATTAACCGACTGATTATTCCATCCCAAAACACAGGACCAAAGAGGACTTATTAAGGAGACAGTAAGTGAAATAGAAGTTGGCAAGAACGGACCTATCCCACTTCCAGCCAGCCCTCCCGCAACCTTTTTAATTTACTAAAATGCTTTGGACACAGATTAACTTTCTTGGCAAATTTATTATTGCTTCATCTACCTTGAAGCAGGAACCGCGGACACTTTGATAAATGGATTGAAAGGTTGTCTAGTTCCAGAGGAGCCTTTGAAATGCTTCCGGGGCTCTCCCTGCAATGTCAGGCACGCTTTGTTCTCGGGGCAACAGTGAATGACAGGCCTTCCTTCCACCCCCTACCCCTGCAGGACGGGAGTTGAAAACACTACGGTGGGTACACTTGTTCTGGGTACATTCATTCCAACTTGTTTGTAATAGACGGCAGTTTATACATAGGGATGGGGGTGGGGGATGGGAGAGAGGCGTCGAGGTTTCAAACCCAATGATTCTAAACTTATAAGATGGGCAGAAACTTCCAGAAACACTGTGAGTGCTTGTTTCTGAAGTGCACGGCGTGACTTCTAAGTAGTATGATCACTCAAGCTGCTTCAGTGCTCTGATTTAGTTCCCTCATCTTTCAAATGGGGTCACAGGCTTATCAGCTTCCTCAGCTGCGGGAACAAAATGGGGACACATGGAAAGCACTTTGTACACCTGGAGCACGGAGGACAATATGCAAATGGTGCTTTTACTTCCTGAGTTTCTTCCTCATTTAGGTTTGGATTTATGTAGCTAAAAATGTCCCCAGTCATCACCCGCAGGACACGCACTTAAACCTGGACACAGAATAAAACACACTTGTGTTATTAGTATTCCTTCCATAAAAGTCTGAGGGGGAGATGAACGCTTCCCTTGTCCAGAATCTACAAAGGACTCTCCATATTGGATTCTAGATCATTTCATTCTGGTTGAAACAACAGAGATTGGTTCAAAAAAGAGGTTGAGACCTTCGAGAGAAGCAGATGAGTGCCCTGCTCAGCCATCATCAGAGAAGTTTCCTCCTGCAGCAGATGGGAAGACATACAGAGACACACAACAAGAAAACACAGAGGGACAGACCTTGGAATACTCAGCCCTAAGTGGGATGTCTCCATTAAATCCCTGCCCCCAGGACTCAGGAGACTTAGCCAAACAGGAGGTGGAAAGAGTGCTTGAGCCAGAGGAGATGGAGGACTTCAAGGATACAAGGCCTTCTAAACAGAGCATGACTGACACATATATAAACTAAGAGAGACTGTGGCAGCATGCACTGGGCCTCCACGGGTCTGCATCCATCGGGATCCTGGATCTGAAAGGAGAAGTAGACAAGGGATGTCCCCCCCCACCCCACCCCAGACGCTCTCTCCAACTGATCACCACTCGCAAA